ATGCCCTGAATATGCTCAAAAAGTATAATGTTTAGAAATACACCTATACACAGTTGTCCATTTATGATCGGATCACCAAGGTCTGATGTCAATACCAGGTGCAAGCATGGCCTCTTATTTCTCTAAACAATTTATCACAAACTTCCATCAGACATGAACGCAAAATATCCATGTTCCCCTTTTTGTAGGTGTAAAGTGGACTCTGACCTGACCCTGACAGGGCGTCTGACCTGTACTGCTCAGTGTGAGAAATGTGGAGCAGATATCACGGTGGCCTTCAGACCTACTATGATGCACCACTACGGTGATGTTTTGGGCTATATGGACCTAAAAGCAGCTGTGCCGGTAGACCTGGTACTGCAGGACTCTGAGTTCAGTGTTGGATGCCTTGAATGCAACAAGGAGGACACAGTTAAGGTCTGCAAAGATTCAGGTTCAACATTCAGGTTGATTAGGACACTTTTTGCCTTTGAGATTACCTAATCTTCTAAAAATTCACCCTATATACACATACAGTAGTCAACATTTGAAAAAGATCAAAAAAGTTCATCAAAGTTGTCCAAGACAAGAACAGGTATTTGTTCGAAATTCATGCATAACTTTGCATTTTGCATTTGGCAGACGCTTTTACGCAAAGCGACTTGCATTGCATTACAAGGAACACATTTTTACATTCTTATCAGTTCTTGCTTTCCCTGGGAATGGAACCCATGATCTTACTGTCTGATACTGTGATGATACTGTTTGAGCTTTAGAAAGAGCAAGAGCATAATCCTTTAGGTGAGTGTATACAGTATATACTGTACACACACACTACTACTACTAAGGCAGTAAGATTTTTTTTTATATAAATTAATTCAGTAAGAATACATTAACCTGATCAAAAGTGACCCTAAAGACATTTACAATGTTAAAAAAAATGTATTTTTCAAATAAATTCTTTCTATTGATCAAAAAATCCTGAAAAAAATGTTTCCTGAGTACCAAATCAGCATATTAGACTGATTCATCATAATTCAGATGATGATAATTCAGATTTTATAATATTAAAATAGAGTAATAGTAAATGATTTACATAAATGCAGTTCTCACACAACAATCTTTTTTTCTTCTTCTCTAGAATCTGAGCTATGGGCAAAACTGGGAACAAAACTGCCAACATTGTCATGCCAAACTCAGGATTTTTGTGGAAGCGACACGCTTTCAGTACATTCAGCCAGAAACCAGAAATCAGACAGGTCTAAGCCTTGTCCTATATCCTCACTCATTCTATACAGTTCTTGTTTATTGTGTGTTAATATTTGGTCAAGAATAAGTCTTGTGCGAGGGATTATTTAACACCGGCACCTGGTGTTCCACTAAAGCTTATCCAGGTTAAAGGGATAGTTCACCCCAAAAATAAAAGTTACTGGTTCTCAAGTTGTTCCAAAACCTGTATAAATGTCTTTGTTCTGTTGTACACAAAGGAAGATATTTGTAAGAATGTTTCTAACCAAGCAGATCTTGGGCCTCATTGACAACCATAGTATTTTTTTTCCACAAACCTGTACCTGTAAAAGTCCTCAGGTGTTTCTCAAATTATTGGTTAGTTGGTGTGAGATTGCAGACTCTCTTTGTAAATTGCATTGAGTGTAAAGCAGCATATAAACAAACTATTGTTTTTTATTTACTCAATTTACAGGTGCAGCTGCTCAATACACCCGACGCTACAGAGACCCTGCAGTTCAGCAAGGGAAACCCCTACCTGAAAAAGGCGCCTGCAGGCATTACAAACAAAGTCACCGGTGGCTAAGGTAACTTTCGGCAACAGCATCTGGGTCTGTAACAGGTTTATTTTGTAGCAGGCGTAAAACTTTGTGTACCACCAGGTCCTCTTGTTTGACCTATAAAATGCCCTTGGCTCATATTTTGGCAGCCATCTTGCATTAATGTTCTCTCCTGACAGATTTCCATGCTGTGGTCGGGCGTACCCATGTGATGCCTGCCATGATGAAGATCAGGACCATCTGATGGAGATGGCTACCAGAATGATCTGTGGTCATTGTGCCAAAGAGCAGGTCAGCAGCAGCAGGTCATGCCGACAGGATGAGGATCGTTTTCACCTCAATCCTCCTTTAACCCAAATATTGCATTGGAATTAGAGACAAACTCTGCAACAAAGAAAATTTGACCTATATTTTGCCAAGAAACAACATTTGTTCCAAAAGAAAAGAAATCCTAGATTTTCCATTTGGCATCAAATGATGACACAGTACTAAAATGTCTTTAGAAATGTATTAATATTACCATGAACTGCTTGGAACCAACAATATGCTAAATCATTAAAGTAACATAGGTTGAGTAGGGAAATGGATCGTTTTGGCTTTAAATGTTTTCAATTTAGGCCTTTTCATGAAAGTAAAATAAATGGATTGGCACAGACGGTTTATCCTTACTACATGTGATCCTGCTTTTAAAGTCAGCGTGAACCGGAAGTTGTGACTTAATTACTTCAGTTTTGTGACATTTTGCGAGTGAAACGGCATGTTTGAGAATGAAACATATTGAATGAGAAAAAGAGAGGGCGTGGCTTGTTTTTTCCCCACTGGAAATTTAGTGCCGAAGTTACGACGTCACTCTGTAGGCCAAAATGCGGAAGCGAATTAGCATTTTAGCTCTACCGGTTCCCTCGCTCTAAAGTCTATGGGTTTTTTGAATGGGTTTGTGCTAAATCGCCTGAAATAAGGTCTGTGGTGAACAAAGCCTTTAAATAGTTTCACGTTTTGATCTCTGACACAGAACACACATTTATAACCTGCTTGTGGTCTTTTAAACTTTATTGTGTCTGTTTGTGTTTTTTAAAATCTTTATATAGGCTTCAAAATGCATACATTTTGGATGAACTTGTAAAGATGATCTTGATAGACAAAGCGTGTAAGGGTCACCACTTTTTGTTGAACACAGATCTTATTTTTTGCGATTTTCCAAAAGTCTATGGGAAACATGCCTAGCTTTTCGATCGAGGGAACCATGCGCCGCTAGCTTCCGAGTTGTCCTGCAGAGTGACGTCATCATTTCGGCACTATTGATTAGATCTAGAAAAGTGGACGTTCCATTCAGCTTGCTGTCAAAGTATTTTTCATTGTTGTATTTTTTTTCACAGTTTTTGAGAATGAGACAAGCCGTCTGTTATAAATGAACTTGCACCAAAATAGACACATGGCCTTCGACGTGTCTACAACTAAACTAACTGTTCAAAATTATTTGGCAAAATCATATAAATATTCATTATAATAACTATTACTTTTCCGTTATTTTTTATTCAATAATGATTGCATTGTGTATGCTGCTTTCTACAAGTCAGGGAGAATAGTACTGTGGCCCAGTTGAGGACCACTGGTGTATAATATACTTAAGATTTTTGGACTTCTTGTTTTGTTTTCTCCTTCTAGCCATACAGCAATGGTAAGCCATGTGTTGGTTGCGGAGGTATGATGACAAGAGGCACCTTCACAAGCCACTGGGAGGGCGGACAGGGCTGTAGAAACAAGGCTAAGATGAGCAGGTATGTGCCATTTAAATCCTGTGCCAATGACATGTTATTTCCCTTCCACCTACTGTTAACATTTTGCAACTTGCCAGTGATTAACATAGAACTAACAGTTGTTGACAAGCCTAGAACATGGTAGAGGTTTATTTTTAAAGGGGTCGTTTGATGCTTTTCAATGTTTTCCTTTTCTTTTAGTGTGTAATTTAATGTAATCTGTTTGTGCTTGTATACGATCTGTAAAGTTACAGAGCTCATAGTCTCCCACAAACAGAGAACACTGATCCAAACCTGCCTAAAACACCTCGATTGATCCTACTCAAATGTCACATTGTGAAATATTAGATAATGCCCGGGCAAAAGTGTACGCAAAGACAGAAGGCGAGGTTTCAGTGAAGTGTAGTGTTGTCGTCATGTCACGGAGATTCTGTGTTTTTGATGCAAAAGCGAAACTGCTTAGTTTGGGCTTCTGAGAAAATGAATGAAATTACAAATCAGCAGTAAAGATTTATTTATAATGCTGTTCTTGAGCAGCACAACCCAGAAGTTTGCTTGTTTACAGTGAACAGCTTTTTGAACCTGTTAGAGTATAACACAGGCTATATCCAAAGTATACTTACCACCATTCTGCTCAAGTAATGCTTGCAACGTTGGTTCCAGACTCTCCAGAAAATCAACTTTAAATAATGAATATTAACCAATTCTATTACACCCAATAATCAAAATTATTATCTTTTAAAATTGCATCATATGACCCTTCAATGCAAATGTAAACTGTTGGTGACCCATGTGTTCTAAATGAATGTGAACAAGTTTTTGTCTCTGAACTGCATATGAACATTTGTTGTTATCTTATTTTTCTATACAGGAATGACCGTCACAAATACACCAACACACGTAAAACGGTGCCGAGGAAAAAAAGTGAATAATGATACCAAAGGATTTTACTTTTAGCCAATCAGATGTTTAATCACCAATGCTTTATGAGACATTTATTAGACAATTCAGATGATTTCACAATTTTGTTTTTGCAGTTTACAATGATTTTTAAATAAAATACATTTGACATATATTCAGCATAACCATTTTTTAAAATAAATAAACATATTATGTACATAAATTTACTCGCACATTTGGCTTTAGATTCCTTAATAATGCTCAAATAATGAGTCATGAAAACTTTGTTAAAGGTTACAATACATCATGAATTAAGTTTTTTGTTTTTTTTTGTTTTTGCTTAATGCAACCACTAAAATTCTAATCATGGATAATTGTATCCAAAATGTAGAAGTTGAAAAAGTAAATTATGGCTTGCATATTAGTTCTGTGCATTTTCTATGATTTCAATGGAAATAAAATTATGAAGAAAAAAAAAACATCTTGTTTTTGTTATTATTAATTGAGAATGTGATATACTAAATGTTTAATTCAACACTAAATACATACGTGTGATCATAAGTTTACACAACCCTTGTGTCCCTAGAATCTAGAATCTGCAAAATATAAAAAAAAAATATATTAGAGGGATCATAAAAATTGCACTTTTTTTTTATTTAGTACTGCCCTGAATAAACTATTTCACAAAACAGATCTTTACATATAGTCCACAAGAATAATTAACATGAATCACCCATTTCAAAAGCTGACACCCTTCATTCTTTTGGATTGGATGATCCAAATATTGTCGGATATTGTTATTATTTTGTCTTCCGGATAGTAGAAGATCCTTGCTAGGTTTCAGTAATAATTGCATTTAAATGTCTATTTATGAATCTTGACCCTTCATTCTTTTGGATTGGATGATCGGTGGACATTGTTGTTATTTTGTCTTCCGGATAGTAGTAGATCCTTGCTAGGTTCCAGTAATAATTGCATTTAAACGTCTATTTAAACGTTCTGATTTTAAAGAGAGGGAGAGACTGGAGTGTTGGCTGAGAGAAAGTACCTTATCATGGATTTACCGGAGTTCCAAGTCTGCCTGGGCACAGTATAAATAAGGCTGGGTTATTCCCCATCAGCATTCACTTGCCATTGCTTAATCCAGCAGCAGGATGTGGAACATCAGTGAAGTCGCTCTTCAACTCCCAACTTCCACAGCTTCAGACCGTCTCCTCCAGCCCCTGTGGGACTACCTGTATCATCAGCACTACAGCCAGGTCTCGTCTCCGTTCTTCCCAGTGCTGCTCGCCTTCTCCAGCTACTTCATCTTCAGTGTCCCCTTCACGCTCCTGGATGTCCTAGGAGAGAAAGCTCCTCTTTTTAAGTACAAGATCCAAAAGGAGCGGCGTCCCACCGTCGGCATGATGCTGAGGACTCTGGGGACGGCGGTGTACAATCATCTAGTGTTTGTTCTGCCGGCTGTGTTGATCACTAATGTGGTGATGCCTGCGCCTCCACTTCCAGCAGTTGCTCCGACAGTATGGGAGCTGTTCTCAGGCGGGTTGGGGGCTTTGCTCGTCTTCGACGCCCAGTACTTCCTCTGGCACATGGTGCACCACAAAAACCCTCTCCTGTACAGATGGGTCCATGCCATCCATCACGATTACACCTCGCCGTTCTCCTGGTCCACACAGCACCTGAGCGGCGTGGAGCTGATGACGGTGGGCTTCTGGAGTAACATCGATCCCATCCTGCTCAAGTGCCATCCTTTGACCGTGTGGACCATCACAGTCTTCAGCATTTGGATGTCCGTGGAAGACCATATCGGCTACGACCTGCCATATTCTCCTAGCCACATGGTTCCTTTTGGGCTTCTTGGAGGGGCGATGGCCCATGACACGCATCACCAGAAACCCAGCAGCAACTTTGCACCTTTCTTTAGTCACTGGGACAGACTTTTCGGCACCGCCGTAACAGTGAAACGGACTCATAAAAGCGATAGAGAACAGTAGACTGTTTCATTGGTTTTAAACCTTTAATCAGTGTAAATATAATACATTTTACTACTTGTATAAATCTTGTACTTCTGTCTGCAATAAAAACAAATGTTTGTATATATCATTGTGCGTCTTGGAGAGAGGTTTGGGATCATTGAATTTGCTGTCCATTTGTCTTATGAAAGTATTTGTTATTTATGTACAGTAGCATTAAAGTTATTCCAATGAGCACATTACAATGCTTGCCATTAGTTACAGTCAATGATCTGATATTTTACAGCTTTTCGGTAATTATGCTACCTCTTACATAAAACAGCACAATATCTGATAACCAATCTGATTATTGAACTAATGAGGTTTAAAGAGAGAAGAATTTTCAGTCCTCTTTTAGCCAGGGGGTTTCCTCAAAATGCCTTGTACAGATTAAAAGACCAAATATTCCTCCTCCGGAAATGACCTTAGGAGTTTACCTCTCTGAAAGAGGGATGAACAAAGTCTTTGTTTATACTAAAATCACCCTAAAATAAATGAATCGTTTAAGCTGTGAACATTGAACTGTTTTATGATTAAAACAGCCCTCATTGTGGGAAGATTAAGCAATTTCATGGTAGAATGTCTTGTTTCATTATGAATTACAGTACAGCATTTCACTTAATCGTTGATTACATAATGCTGATTTTGTTTCATTTGTAATGCTCCCTAAAAAGGAGTAAAGAAAATCTAAATATGCTCAGAACTCAAGTCTTTGTATTTTAATAGCCATAAATACACTACCACTGTTTGGTTTGGCAAGATTTGCTTTTATAATAAGTCTTTTATGGTCACTAATGTTGCATTCATTTGATCCAAAATACTGTCAAAATTAATATTGTTAAAATGTACTTCATTTTACGCTTATTTTTCCTTTGATGGCAAAGCTGAATATTCAGCATCATTACTCCAGTCAGTGTCACATGATCCTTCAGAAATCATAATATGCTGATCAGTTTTATCTTGATTGTCACTTTTGATCAAATTAATGCGTCCTTGCTGAATAAAAAGGCTATATAACATTGAATACGATTCATAAATTAGCAAAACGTGGCCACTCAATATTTAATATTCAATTATTTTAATTATCACAATTAAAGTTTTAATTTTATTAAATTGAACAAGCACATCAGTCCTACATAAAAAAACGAAATTCACGTTTAGACACGAAACGAGCGGTTGGTGTGAGAAAACGAACAGTGTTTATATCGTTTTACCCTACCTCGTGTATTCACAGTGACGTCCAAGTGATCATCTGAATCAGTTGTGCAATGTCCAACTGAACCGAACAGAATCAGTTCAATGCTACGCCAGAAGTGATCGTTTGCATGTGACGTCACTCAATATTTGCACGGAGATTTCGGAAGTTTTACCTTTTACTAATTAGATATACCGAAATCGTATTGCGATTTCCTGTATATCTAAATATGTTTAGTGAAAGGTAAAACTTCCGAAATCTCGGTATAAACAAAGAGTGAGGTAGGCGCGCAAACGATCACTTCCGGCGCATGCGCAGACCGAAGCGCCCGTGCCATCAGATGTTTGAAATGGCTGTGATTACACGAGGTAAAAACGATATGAATACTGTTCGTTTTCTCACACAAAACGCTTATTTCGTGTCTTAGGCCATCAATGTGTACTTACATTTGTTTAATTTTGACTTCTCTGTGCATGCTCTTTGAGGTGGACCCACTAAACCTGCATTATATGACTGACAGACAACAACGGTTTGACCAAAAAAAAATCAAAATTGAAAATACTGTGGAAACAAAGACACCTACATCTTGGATGCCCTTGAGGTAAGCTAAAACATATCAAAAATTAATTTCAAAGTGAACTATATCCTTTAATAGACGTACAGGCTATTTCTGCACATTCGTTTAATTCAGAATTTTAAAGTTTAAAGGCATTTGTTTGTGCATAGTAAAACATCTGCAACATTTATCAAGTTCATGCATAATTGTGCATGCATGTAATTAATCATTATGATACTAAAATCATAACAAAGTAGACAAGCTACTACAAAAATCAGAAGTCGCAACGCATTTAATTAAACGTTTAGCATTTTCCACCCATAGAAAACCATTATAAAACGCATAATGTGGCTTAATGCAGATTTCGTCCCCTACTATGTTGAAATAACAAGTTATTGTGTAAAAATAATGAGATACGATGTCGAAATAACAGATATTATGGGAATATTATTCAAAATGAGAAAAATAAAATATCCAGGAAATCATATTGTACGATTTTAAAATAATGTGTTTGTAAATTATGGTGAAAATAAGTATTTGGTCACTCACAAACCAGCAAGATTTCTGGCTCTCACAGACCTGTAACTTCTTCTTTAAGAAGCTTTTCATTTTCTCTCTCATAGTTGAAATGTACCTATGATGAAAATTACAGACCTCTCTCATCATTCCAAGTAGGAGAACTTGCACAAAAAGTGGCTGACTAAATACTTTTTGGCCCCACTTTAAATAAAACATCTTCTTATCTTTCTTGGACTATAAAAACTTAAAACATGAAAAAAAGACTGTCAGACAAAAATATAACCAACATGTTGCTATTTTCACCATGCAAAAGAGTCTGAGGGGTCATGACAGAAGTTATTGGAGTGCATGTTTTCTTCAAATCATATTATACCAGATTATAATTTCACACAAACAGCTGGCCTGTTTTCCCCAGTGAATCCCTAACACAAGAGTCAATATGGTTCTCCAAACACTTGCTTTTGCCCAGAGGCATAAACAAAAGAGACTTGCGTGAAAAACACTAACAGTCAGCGTCTCAATGAGTTTTATGGTTCATTTCATTAGCCTGCCCACGTCTGAAGCCTGGAAACATCTGTATGTACGCATTGGTAACTTCAATCAAACATTACGCTCATTTCAAGGTCGGTGAACCACCGAAAACAAACATCCAAACTGCAGCAGAACGTTTCCCAGCATGTTCCCTGTTACCGAAGAGAAAAAGGAAAAATCTCTGAAAGACAAAAAGCACTGCAATGAACCGGATAGGCGATATGTTAGGTTGTTACGTGAGAGGAGTTCAAATCCGACTTGTGATATTTCCTACAATTTTCTCACTGCGCAACTTTAAATTCATATTCAGAATATTTTCCTTTGCAATTGCAACATAATAGTCCTGAAACTGTCCAGTTTGTTTTGACCAACCCCCTACTCTTTAATGATTCGTATTAACACACCAATGAATACAGAACGACATTGGAAGAGTTGAAAATTTATTGCACTCAAAACATTCTTAAAATGAAACTTGAAAACAATAAATATGACCTTAAGAATTACAATTTAAAAAAACACCTGTTAATGCATGCTCTTATTAAGATACTGCACAAACATATTGGCAATCTGTCCAATGTTCTCTGTTGGATGCATCTTGGTGTAACTGATGAACTGGCGTCTGAGTTTCCTCAGCTCCACCATGTTAAGACTTCTCGTGAGTTCGATGTATTGAACAAGTTAAGAAAACCGGGCTGTTACAATAAAGTACATTGCATTGGCAAATAAATAGAATAAAGAGTTTCATTTCTATGAGAAGGAACACATTATAAATACTGCAGTGTTATTGTTTTGGAAAGAATGTCCTTTTATTCAGCAAGGATGCATTAAATTGATCCAAACAGACAATATTTTTCTATTTCAAATAAATGCTTTCTATTTATCAAAGAATCCTAAATGCTCAAAACAGTGGATGTGATTGGAAAACAGGACTACGGGTAACCAGTGGACTTTGTTGCGAGACAACAAAGAACGAGTATAAATGAACTTCCAATGAATCCCATTTGAATTCTGTATGATTTCAAAGGGCAGCCAGTCCGTCTCTATGTGTCGAAATGCTAAAGCTGTTATGGACAGCCACCAAACTGATGACATCCTTTGATGTCTGTGTATTCATCACATGCACATAGGTCCAGTTTATTACTACAACACATCTTCAGTTAGCGTTAAACGGATCAACTTTCTGTCAGCAAGATTCAATCGAGCGCAAGTCGAAAATTCCAGGCTTGATCTTGGTTTCATGTTGTAATCGTTTCTAATGCTTTGACCGTTTATGGTGGGACATTTCTGTGTTGTCACAGTGAGAAACATCAAATAGCTATGATGGGTGGCTCAGCAAAGCAAGACAACAATATTACATTTCCCCTAAAAAAATCTGAGCAAAAGCTACAGAGCCCCTAAATGGACATAGTGGTGTACAAAATATGAAAAAAAAAGTAAAAAAGTTTGCTCACAAATTGTTTTGCGTTCATCCCTGAGAAACATTAGCCTGACTACGTCAGACTTTGTACTTCCGCTCTATTTATTTTCGCTTCTGTGCTCAGTCTGAGACAGCGACATGTCTCTTCGTTTTCCTTCGGCCTGAAAACAGCCGGCCCAATCAACGAACAGAGGGCGGGCTGAAAGCCGTGACGTAGACGCTAAGCGCCGAGTTTAAGATTGGGGAAATCGAAAGCGACCGCGGATATGGAGACACAGGATGCAATTCGCTCTGTTGTGGAGAATATTCCCGGCATTTGCAAACTGTAGCCCGACCATGAAGAGTGTTTGTTAAACATTTTGAATGGACAGAGGGAGTATCTCAGTCTCTTTTTAATCTGTCGAGCTCGAACTAGCACCCTTTTGACAAGTCAGCGTCTTCTTTCCTTTCCAGTTCTTAAATATTGCCATGTTATGATGTAATCTTACAATTAATTTTATCCGAATTGAATCGGAAAAAGATTTGTTCATTTTGATGAACGAGTTTAAACAGGAGAGTCACGAACGCGTATCACAGAACACAGCAAGGTGACCATTTGAGCTTATAAAACTTAAACTTTGTTATTTTTTTTAAATGAGTGATCGTTTCGCTTGACAAGACCCTTATTCATCGTCTGGAATCGTTTAAAGCCCTTTCAACAGTTTGCAGTTTGCACTGAAACTGTCTTTTGGACCTTGAACCATTTGGTTCGCATTGAAGTCCATTTTATGGAGAAAAATGCTGGAATGTTTTCATCAAAAACCTTAATTTCTTTTCGACTAAAGAAAGAATGACACGGATATCTTGGATGACATGGGGGTGAGTAAATTATCAGCAAAAGTTTTTTTTTTTAAAGTGAACTACTCCTTTAAGTACACAATAAATGCCTTTAAGTGGAATCAGACTAAATTACTGACTAG